CACCAGATGCACATACCTTATTACATTGTCACTATCAGATAGTTAATAATCAACTGCCTGGGCTGGACTGGCCCCACAAGCACTATCAGTAAAAAATTCCATATCACATTACCAGTGCCCTGAGCCATCTATCTGCTTTAGGCCTTGTCTAGATTAAAACAAAGTTTCAAACAGATTAGCTACCATGTTCTTAGCTAACGTACTTTAAAACACTGGCAATCCTTCAGCGGTTAGTACATTTTAAACGTGATCAACCATAGGAAGCTGAAGCAAGGACAAACACATTTTAAAGATGGTAAACAGTATTTGAAATACACTTTAAAATCATGTTGGTTAAAACCAACATTGGCTAACATTCTTTTATATGCAACTCATCTTCTGAATGTAGAGCCAGCAGCAGCATTGTGCACTGATATTTCAGTCCCTGTATACCTTAAATATACGCTCTTTCTCATTGCTACAAAAACACCTTGTTCTTAACCTGAAAACATGGTATCTCTTCTCCTCAAAATCTTAAAAGCTGAAGGTCCCTGTCCATATCTTTACTCACAGATCTAGTTCCAAAGTCCATGTGTGTAGGACTGATCTTGCCTTAAAAGAGGGGATGAGGACCCACCTTGCTGCTTTCTGAGTGAGTTCCATTGGGAAGTCTGGGCAGAGCAGCTGCAGCAGGCAGTGGTATTCCTGTGCTGTCAGCAAATCTGCAGGAAAAGAGAGGTGAGAACATCACAATTCTTTTACAGCCTGTTTCCTCCCCTTGCTTCCTCTCTAAAAAAAATAACCTCATGTTCTCTTCTACTCTCAATTCAAGTAGATTACATACTAATAACAATACAGCTGCTCCTTAGACCCTCAAAGCTGGGCTCTTCAGATGGGAGTTTCCAGCAAAGGCAATCAGAAAGAGGCCTGATAAAGGGGAAATCCTATTGAAGAGGCTCCCACAGAGAAACTGGTAACAGGTAGTGATTCAGTGTGAAAAAGAGGTAACCAAAACAGGGCAGTTTCAAGTGAGAACACAGTTTGGTTTGCCTTGAATATAATCATGTGGAAAAAGGAATAATTTCAAAGTTGCTTAAATTTGCTAAAATTCACTGGCATGGTGACATTCACCACAATACGACTAAAAACTATCCACAGAACATCTGGCAGCAGTAACAAAGGCAAACAAGGTTTTTGGGTTGTGTATGGCAGACTACAGAGTATAAACCACATATGTTATTACTTTGGCATTTGGTAAGGCAGCTGGATGGTCTCTCTTGGAATAACGTGTACAAATCTGGTCACTGTATTATAGGAAACACAGAACAAAGATCCAAAAAACACAAGAAAACCAATCAAATGATTCATGTTTTAGAGAGTAGCTTTGTGAAAGACTGGTGAAGAAAGGCCTCTGTGGTTCAGAAGGAGTCTAAAAGAGGTGACTCTTAGGGAAGCTTATAGGATCCCAAGGGAATGGAAGCGTACTGATGTCAAAAAGCCCTACATGATTGTATGTTCATAATCCAAAAGGCTGTGGACTGGAGTTAAGGAGAAGACTAGCTGAACAGCAGCAATTTTGCCGTACTCCTTTGTATAGAAAAATGCAAAGTATGGAAGAAGGAGCCAGAGGTGGAAGTAAAGCCAAGCAGTAGTCAGGGAGGGGATCCAAAGGGCACAGGCATTAGGAGGGAGGTACAGAGCATTAGTTCTTTTGCAACAGACAACATCTTAGCCTTCCTTAGGCTCCCATCCAAATAATCAACCTTGTCTCAGGTGATAGCCACAACTTTTCCCTATCTCCAAAACTTTGAAGCCTGGGAGTTCGACAAAAGCAAGAAAAATGGAGAATGCTACACCTTTGTCAGTCATTTCAAGAGGCAGGTATGCAGTATCAAAGGGACATTTTACTGCAACATCCAACCCAGCCAACTTAGTATTTTCAGTGCTGACTAAAGAAATACTGCAGGAGGACTGTCACCAAAATCAAGTTATAGACTTTTCCTTTACCTACATTATTAGCCAGGGAAGTGGAGAAAAGAGAGGAGAGCACTACTATTTTTCTCTTCAGTTCAAGAAACCCTATGGCTGAAAAACACCGTTGTCAGACTCTGACATCCATTACAGACACTCTCCAGAGTACTATACTTTGCACTGCTCTTGGGAGGACTTTCTATCTAAAGAAGCACCTTAGGTTTAGGGTCATGCTACGAAAACGTGATTTTGCTATGCCTGGAAAAGCCAACTCTGCAGTCAGAAATCTGCTGTAAGACAAGGAAGCCCCAGCCTGTGCAGAACTACACCATTGCAGAGATTTGTGCAACCTGTTCTACCACAGGGATAAATACATCAGAATCTCTCTTCTTCCAAAACCTGAATGCTGAGCCAAATTAAATTTCTGTGACTGCACTGAAATTATAGATGTCTGGGAGAACATGGAGGGCACTGTAAGTTTTTTGTATTGTCACTTCTTACAAAAACACTATTCAGAGGCTGCTCTCTATTGCAGATGCTACCTTGGTCCTTCAGTCAGTGTTTGGCTTAATGATGGTATCCAGTGGAATGGTGGGGGTTTCTCTCACAATATTAGCTAATCAGTTCCTTGAATGTCATCAAGGAAAGTATCACCAAGTTTTATGTATAACTGCAAAAGGCTATTATTGAAAAAGTCCCAGTTATTATGAGCAGGAAGATGCATATTTTAAACTGAATTTTCAGCTCACTATTTCTCTTTCATGACATGACACAGAGAAAAGAAAATTTTCTTCTCTGTTATTTTGTTAGATCAACAGTCATTTACAGCAATAGAGATTTTGGTCCCAAGTTCTTAACAAAACTGTCTGATCATGTAAGGTTACATAAAATCATCTTCAACAGGCTTGGCCTAGGAAGCAGGTTACATGAAAACAGAGAAGCTGGGCATAAAACTGCTCTTTTGAAACAGACACTTTCTCATAATTGAAGAGGACAGTATGGACCTCTTAGAACTACTCTTCAAGGCTTTCTAAATCTAGCTTTGAATAATGCTGGGCATTAAACTTCCTATCTTTGTCTAAAAAGTCTACATGTTGGTCTGAAGGAGTCACACTACTTGGAAGCTCTACGCAATACTCAATTTACATTTTTTGTTTGCTTAAATTCAAATTCCTATTTATGCATCCTTATACCTCTTCTCTGCATTATTTTTTTCTTTTATTTGTCAACAGATCATTATAGTAACCCTTTCTTCATTCTGTATCTTACTCAATCTATTTTAACTGATAACTATATTTATTTAAAGTTAAACCTGTTTATCTTACTCTCTACATCCCTCCCAACCTAGCCGAGTCATATCTGGTGCTCTGCTTTGATCCCCTTTAGATTTTCACAGTGTGGTGTCCAGCAGTGTACAAAGCATCCCTCATGCATTCAGAACAAACAGGCTCTAGGAGGATAATCTGCCCACTTTCATCAATGAAGCCCCTTTTCATTAATTCTGAATCTTAGCCTCCTCTTTTCTCACCCTGAAGGTGAAGGAGTTTAAAGTTTTTTTGAAGGATGAGTTTCCTGAGAAAGCTGCACTTTGTTCGCAGTCCCTGTCAGGTTGCTAGACAAAAGCAGATTGAGAGGGTATCTGGGCCCTAAGTAAGCATTAGTTTTGAGCCATAAACAGAGAGCTCTCACTTGCTGGAAACAGCATACTTTTAAAATGTATAATAATTTACTCTGTCTTTTTCTCCTCCCTCTTCATATGAAGTCACAGCATCATCCTTACTCCTCCATCACAAAACAACAAAGCAACATAGAGCAAAAGCAGAAGTCTGCTCAAAAAGCCTTTGAGAAAGGGTGGCGGAGATCCCCTCCAAGCAGCAGATCAGAGGGTGAAGTTCATTGCCAATAAAAATGGAATTAATTACAATTTCAGTCTTTAAGCAAATGGTCTATTTAGATGGGAACACAAAGCTGAAGTGCTGCAGAAAATTTCCTTCTCTAAAAAAAGAGGCCATTTGCTTATTATGCCTGGAGAAACGGCACCAAATTAGTCACTGAAGTATGCAGACAGATTCTTTCAGGCTGTAACAGAACTCAGCCTATAGACAATCCCAGGTGTCTGACCAATAAATCATATCAATTTCTCAGACTACAGATGGGTACCTATAACACAGGAAGGGTGATCTCCACAGACCTTTGAAGGTGTCTACAGTTTGCTGTGATGATTGTTTTCCTATTGCCTACAGCAAGGTCAGTGAGGACCATACAGAAAATTACATTTGCCCATGCACCATATAGTCTGCCAAGAGCTGCTTGGAATAAACAAGGGCAGTTTTGGTGCATGACCACATTGCTCTTTCCCGTCTCCAGGCCACAGCTGAGTAAATAGTGTTCAACACTACATGATGAAGAAAGAAAGAAAAGAAGGAAGGTACCAGTCAGAATGAGTGAAAACTGGAATCCACAACTGCTATTTTGGTTGCTACCACAAATTACTGCATCTCAAGTTCCAGTAACAAATGAAGCAAATCACAGAGAGTTTTACCCACTACTGGTCTTCCAGGCAGGAGGGGAGGAAGCTGCATCCCGTAGTCCGAGGGGAATGAAGAGAGACTTCAGGGACTTGGGACAGTTACTGAAAGTCTGGTGCGCCAAGTTATTTTCTCTTCCCTCCTTCCAGTTGCAGGTGATGATATGGGAAGGAATAGAAGGATCCAGTCTGTAAATACCTGGCCCTGAGACTGGTGCTACAGGCAGGGCTTTGGGTTCTTTGATAATGGCTGGTTTTATAAGACACCAGGCCTGATGGTAACATGTGGGAAAGGCTCATCTTGTAGAGGGAAAAGGGTTGTAGGGCAACAATTAGCAGAGCTTATACATAGAGCTTTAAACTAGATTCAAAGGGGGATGGGGCCGTAGGTGGGTTTGCACTGGTGGGGCAGTGTTCTAGTATCAATGAAGACCAGAAGGCCTCCCATCCCCCTAGGGTGAAGTCAGCGTGCTCAGCTCGCTCCCTGAAAGGCCTGTATGCCAATGCACGCAGCATGTGGAATACAGAGGAGGAGTTAGAAATCTGTGTGCAGCAAGGGGTTATGATCTGGTGGCAATTACAGAGACATGGTGGGACAGCTCACGTGACTGGAATGTGGTCATGGATGGCTATGTCCTTTTCAGGTGAGACAGGTCAACAAGGCGGGGAGGTGGAGTCACTCTTTATGTGAGAGAGCAACTAGAATGTA